TCAGTAAGAGACAGAAGATAACAGTTTAGCCTGACAGGAAGAAGGGCTACCAAATAGTCATTTAATCCATGTATTCCGCACCCCTAGAAAATAGGGAAATTTCCTAGCTCAAGTAATAATACAATTCATACTCGTAGTATTCCTAGCTTGAGTACTGATACACTTTATACTCTTGTACACATTGTTGTCCCTATCTTACCATACATTTTTATTATAATTAAAATTAAGTTTTAATTGTTGGTCATCGTTCTTTTCTCTTTTCATGAGTGTAACTCTCTCAAGGGTTACCTCCACCCATTTATTTCTATTAGACATGCAACCTGCTGTGCAGCCACTACTATCCTCTCCTACCTTCCCCCAAAGCCAGAAGTTCCTCAGCAATCTGTAGTGCTTATAATGCTTGCAGTGATCGTTAATATTGTTGGGCTAGAAATATTTATGCTATGAACACAGAATTACTGGACATAGTACTACATAACATATTTTTCATGGACTATTTAAAATATGCAACTATAGAGTTATTTTTCTGTACGTTTTCTGGTAGGTAGAATTATCTGTAAATAGAACACTTGGATTGTTGTTGTTTTTCAGTTATGGTCCACCTTCCAAGTGCCAGAACTTATTTAATCGCATGTTAAACAGTCCCTGCAGACTCTCCAACTAGATTACATGGACCTTTACTTGATCCACTGGTCTTTAAAGGTATGTGTGACAGTTATATTTTATTGTATTTTATTATTGCCTTTATGTTTTACTATATGGTTTTATTGCTCCACCATACATTAAATGTAGCATTGTTAAAGGTTTGTCCCAGTTTAAAGGGACACTATAGTCACCAGAACAACTACAACTTATTGAATTTGTTCTGGTGAGTAGAATCATTACCTTCAGGCTTTTTGCTGTAAACACTGTTTTTTCAAAGAAAATGCAGTGTTTACATTACAGCCTAGTGATAATTTCACTGGCCACTCCTCAGATGGCTGTTAGAGATCCTTCCTGGGCCATGGCTGCCTAAAATGCATCCAAACAGTCAGTGTCTCCTCCCTCTGCATGCAGACACTGAACTTTCCTCATAGAGATTCATTGATTCAATTCATCTCTATGAGGAGATGCTGATTGGCCAGGGCTGTGTTTGAATTGTGCTGGCCCT